TTTTTTTTTTTTTAAAGACAGTGGAAGGGAGAGGGAGAGACAGAGAGAAACACCAATGTGAGAGAAACACATCAATTGGTTGCTACCCACATGCCCCCTAACCAGGGTCGGGAGCCTGCAACCGAGGAACATGCCCTTGACCGAAATCGAATCTGGGACCTTTCAGTCCGCAGGCTGAGGCTCTATCCACTGAGCCAAACCAGCTAGGGTTTTAGATTAATTTTTAAAATAAATAAAATATAAAGTTGGCTGTGGCTTTGAAGTATTAAAAAAAAATTAGGATTAAAAACAACAACAACATAAAAATCAATGGAAAGAATGTCCTCAGATAAGGATTAACAACAAAAATTTAAATATATTTTACCATCCTATCCTATATAACAAAAGGGTAATAAGCAAATTGACCCTAACAGTGGAACGACCAGAACGACCTCTCGACCAGTCACTATGAGGTGCACTGACCACCTTTCGGTCCCTTCCCCCGGCCAGCAGGCTCCCATCACCCGATGGCGAACGGGGAACCAGGGGTGGTTGGTGGCCGAGGAAGATGGCCCTGATCGTAGGCCAGGCCAACGGACTGTACCCGTGCACGAATTTCTTGCACTGGGCCTCTATTATAAATATAATTTGCATGTCCATATATAAATTAGGGTTCCTAAATCTGTTATATACACACCTAGTCTTTTTTCTTAGTTTGTCATTTGCCCTTTTTTTGTTGTTGTTAATCTTCACCGAGGGTATTTCTTCCACTGGTTTTTTAGATAGAGTGGAAGGGAGGGAGAGAGACAGAGAGAGAAACATCGATGTGAGAGAGACACATTGATTGGTTGCCTCCTGCACGCCCCCGACTGGGGCCAGGGATCAAGCATGTAACCGAGGTACATGCCTTTGACCAGAATTGAACCCGAGACCCCTCAGTCCTCTGGCAGATGCTCTAACCACTGAGCAACAGGCTAGGGTTGTCATTTGCCTTTTAACTTTGTTTACATTATCTCTTAACATCCAAAAGTTTCAAATTATAATTTTCTCAAATCAGCCAATCTTTTCCTTTATGGATTTAGGGGTTTATGTCTTGCTTTGGAAGACTTTTCATACCCCAAGATTATAAAAAATATTCTCCCATTAAATTTCTTGTAACGCTTTTATTGTAAAAGAAATTTTTTTGGTTAATCCTCACCTGAGGATATTTTCTCCATTGATTTTTATTCCCATTGATTTTTAGAGAGAGTAGAAGGGAGGGAGGGAAAGGGGCAGAGAGGAAGAGGGAGAGGGAGAGGGAGAGAGAGAGAAACATGGATCAGTTACCTTCCTTATGTGCCCCAATAGAGGACTGAAACCACAACCCAGTTATGTGCCCTGACCAGGAATGGAACCAGCAGTCTTTTGGTGCATAGGACAACGTTCAACCAACGTTGAGCCACTCTAGCTGGGCTACTGTACTTTTTTCCCCCCAAAATATATTTTTATTGATTTCCGAGAGGAAGGGAGAGGGAGCAAGAGATAGAAACATCAATGAGACAGAATCATTGATTGGCTGCCTCCTGCACACCCTTACTGGGGATCAAGCCCACAACCTGGGCATGTGCCCTTGACCGGAATTGAACCCGGGACCCTTCAGTCTGCGGGCTGATGCTCTATCCACTGTGCCAAACCAGCTAGGGCTATTGTACTTTTTAAAAAATCACTTGTCAGGATTTTCATTTTGTTTATGGTGTGAGAGAGGGGTTCTTTTTTTTTTCCCCAATTGGAGAACCAATCTATGGTCTTTAGAGAGCCAGACGTGCAATTAATTGTTCAGCTAGATTTTATGTCTAATTCATAAGTGACTAGTACGGTCCTGGGAATTTGATCTACGTTACCTGCCTTTGTGCCTACATCCCTACAAGAAAGACATTAGGACCCTATTTTACAGATGAAGACATTGAGGCCAGAGGTGGCAGTGCCTGGACCAGGCTCACAGAGAGTTCACGGGAGGAGAGGGGAAGGGCTGAGAAGGTTGGGGGAGAGGAACGACTCTCGGGACAGAGCCTGACCTGGCCGGGAGCCTCGATCTCACCTCCAGGCAAGGACCAGCGTGCAGTCTGCCAGGATGCACATCTTAGCCAGCTCCTTGAGGGCCTGCTGGGGATCTTTCTGGGCAGAGGAGAAAATCAGAATGAGAGATCTGGGAGAAAGCAAGGCATTATAGTCTTGAAAACACAGTGGCTTAGGATGCCAGGGACCTTCCATTCAGTTGACACTCCCTAAGCTCCTACTGGGCGCCTGGCCTGTGCCGGGCAGTACCAGGACCCAGCAGTGACCGAGACAGCCTGGTTCTATCCTCCTGGAGCTCAGTCTGAAGAAGGGACAGATCCATCCTCAGACAGTGAGGACCCAGAGTGGCCAGAGCTGAAGGGGCTGGGGGCGGGGAATCCAGAGGAGCCTATGACCTGGGTGAGGTCAGGGAGAGCTTCCGAGAGGAGAAGACATCTGAGCTGGGACCTTACGGAGGATGAAGAGGAGTAAAGGCAGCACAGGAGAGCAGAGAAGGGAACCTTAAACATAGGCAAGAGCATGTGCAAGGATGGGAGGAAAGAGAGGGCTCGAGCAATTGCAATCACTCAATATGGGATGGAGGATGGGAAAGAAAGGTTTTTGTTTGTTTTGTAATATATTTTATTGATTTTTTACAGAGAGGAAGGGAGAGGGATAGAGAGTTAGAAACATCGATGAGAGAGAAACATCGATCAGCTGCCTCCTGCACACTCCCCACTGGGTATGTGCCCGCAACCAAGGTACATGCCCTTGACTGGAATTGAACCCGGGACCCTTGAGTCTGCAGGCCGACGCTCTATCCACTGAGACAAACCAATTAGGGCAAGAAAGGTTTTTTTAAAAAATTGATGTTATCCCTAGCTGGTTTGGCTCATTGGACAGAGCATCGGCCTGTGGACTGAAGGGTCCCGGGTTCGATTCCGGTCAAGGGCACATGCCCGGGTTGTGGGCTGGATCCCCAATAGGGGGCATGCAGGAGGCAGCTGATCAATGATTCTCTGTCATCATTGATGTTTCTATCTCTCACTCTCTCACTCTCCCTTCCACTCTGAAACCAATAAAAATATATTAAAATAATAAATTGATTTTAGAGAGAGAGAGGAAGGGGGAAAGAGGGAAAGGGAGAAACATCGATGTGTTGTTCCACTTATTCATGCATTCATCGGTTGATTCTTGTATGTGTCCTGACCGGGGATCAGACCTGCTACCTTGACGTATTGGAACAACACTCTAACCAAGGGAGCCACCTGCCAGGGCAAAAGAAAGGGTTTTCACACGGGAGCTTAGGCATGAGCCCAGAGAGCTGGGCGAGGGCGGGGACACAGCGTCCTGGGCCATGGCGAGCACTGGGAAGTCACTTAGGGTATTTTTGGTTGTTGTCAATCCTCACCCAAGGATATTTTTTCTACTGATTTTTTAGAGAGAGTGGAAGGGAGGGAGGGAGAGAGAGAGAGAGAGAAACACTGATGTGAGAGAGACACATTGATTGGTTGCCTGACTGGGGCCAGGGATCAAACCTTCAGCCCTTGATCAGAAATCAAACCCGAGACCCTTCAGTACTTGGGCCAATGGTCTAACCACTGAGCAACAATGGCCAAGGCCCATTTAGGGGTTTTACACCAGACCTGTGCGTTAGGAAGACCCCTCTGGTGGCTATAAGGATGAGAGGGGTCAAGGCTGGAGGCCATGAGGCACTTGCATTTCTCCCTGGAAGGGGTTCAACAGTCCCCTTGGCTACCAGGAGGCCCAAGGCTCCCGCTGCACAGGCGGGGGCAGTGAGGCTGGAGGGGAGGAGCCCTGCTTACCACATCCACCTGCACGAGCAGGACCCGCAGGGCGAAGCTCTTCCCCAGGGTCTGCAGCCGCTCGTGGATGTAGTCCGGGTGGAGGTTGTGGTAGCGGAGGCTGGGAAAGGGGGGAGGAAGGATTGAGAGGTCTCGTGGCCCCGAGTTCCGGGGAGCCCTTCCTCACGCTAACACGCAGGGAGCTGGGGCAGCCTGGCCAGGAGCTGAGGCTCGGAGAGGGTAAGCGGCCTCTCCCTTGCAGGAGGGGCACAGAGGGGTTTGCAGCAGCGGCTGCCTGGCTCGGGCTCCCTCCAAGGTTGGCCCCAGGGTCTTCACTGAGGAGGGGAGACTGGCTTCAGGCAGAGGAGACCAGTGCCCTGAAGAGCAAGACCGGGACCCACGCAGCTGGTCTTGGGAAGCAGGGGCCACCCCAGGACTTTGGCTGGTGGGGGTGGGGGGGCTTCTGCACCTGGGAACCAGGGGACATCCCTGCCCAGGAGCCACCAGCTCTCATGCCTACAGGGAGGCCAGCAACTTCGAAGTTTCACTTCCCCTCTGCCTCTGTCTGGAGAAGGGCTCCGGGTTTAATGGGAGGTGGGGGAGGAGGTCAGGGAAATCTGGCTCTTGTCACCTTCAGTCCTGGATGTTGGAGTCACTCAGTCGGGGGCATGAGTGACCCGGCCCCCAACCTGCTCAGACACAGGAGTCTGGGCCCACAGCTCTTGTCACTCCGGGCGCCCCCAGGCCTGGCCTCTTCCTCCCACCCGAGGCCCAGAGCGCACAGGGCCATGCCTCCTGGGGAAGAGCCTAGAAGACCAGCGCACACCCTCCCGTGCCCTCCTGCGGTGGGACAGCCCCAGAGCTCACCTGAGGAAGAGGGCACAGGTGCTCTGACCCAGCACGTAGTCAGGAACCACGTCACCGAATTCCCAGGGCACGTTGCGCACAAACTTCAGTACGGGGTTGCCCCTCTGGGGAGGGAGGAAGAACAGAAGCCAGGAACAGGGATGACCCTGGAGCCACGGCCACCCCAGGGCCCCCACCCCCCACCTCTCTCAGCACCTCTCCACCCTTCTCCTGCCCTGAGCCTGGGTCTTGCAACTTCTCTCTCCTCCTCTGCCTGGCCAGTTCGGCTCAGTGGTTAAGCATTGAACCATGAACCAGGAGGCCACGGTTAGATTCCCTGACACCCGTGAGGAAGGGAGAGGGAGAGTGAAGAAGAGAGAGGGAGAGAGAGAGATAGAAACGTCAATGATGGGGGGTAATGTGGGGATACAGACACATATGTAATAACTTAATCAATAAAGAAATTAAAAAAAAAAAAAAGAAACATCAATGATGAGAGAGAATCATTGACCAGCTGCCTCCTGCATGCCCCACACTGGGGATCCCAGGCATGTGCCCTGACGGGAACTGAACCATGACCTCCTGGTTCATAGGTCGATGCTCAACCACTGAGCCACACTGGCCGGGTAGACTTGCCTCTTCTCAAGCCCAACATGTCCTTGACACTCCAGCTTTGACCTAGGCCCCTATCCCCAAGCCCCAGGCTTGAACTGAAGGGTCCCTGGGTCTGTCTCTAACTCAGCCTTTTCCCCCAGCCCTGTGGTCGGCAAACTGTGGCTCTCGAGCCACATGCGGCTCTTTGGCCCCTTGAGTGTGGCTCTTCCTAAGCCTTAGGAGTACCCTAATTAAGTTAATAACAATGTACCTACCTATATAGTTTAATTTAGACCAGAGTCTACTCAGCAGGCTTCTCTCCCGTTCTACCCTGAACTTACCCTGTAGCCTAAAACTGCAATTCTCTGGGGAAGTCAAGCTCTAATCCAGAGGTCCTCAAACTTTTTAAACAGGGGGCCAGTTCACTGTCCCTCAGACATTCCACACATGCGCACTGCGGGCCCGGGACAGGCAGCGGCGGCAAAATCACCCGGCGGGCCGGATAAATGTTTTCGGCGGGCCCGCATGTGGCCCGCGGGCCGTAGTTTGAGGACCCCTGCTCTAACCCATCCAGTAAGTATTTAATGAGCACCACCCGTGTGTCTACGCGATATAGCAGTGACCCAGACAGACAAAATCCCTGCTCCCGTGCGGGACACAGACATTAAACAAAATGATCTCGGGGATGAACGTGTAATTGCCAAGTGAGGTGGGATGTGGTTCTAAGAGGGTGGGACCTGCTCTCCTGGTGGGTGTGGGTTATCAGAGCAGCTGGGGCGGGAAGGGTCTGCAGGGGTCCGCAGTCCTGCAGGCCCTGGGCCATCTGACCCGAGGCACTGGGAGCCATGGAAAGGTCTGAGCAAGGGAGGTACTTTAACTTTTGAAGGATATGACCAGAAGCAGGAGGACAATGACAGGTGGGGAGAAGGTGGTGAGACTGGGACATTCGCACATTCCTGGTGGGAATGTAAAATGGTGCAACTTTTTAGAAAATAGTCTGGGAGTTCCTGAAAAAGTTAAACATGAAGTGACCATGTGACCCAGCAAATCCACTCCGAGATCAATACCCGAGAACGGAAAACATTCGTCGGCACAAAAGTTCACAGCAGCATTTTTATAATAACAAAAAAGTACAAATAACCCAGTGGGCTGTCCACCAATGGATGAATGGATAAACAAGATGTGGCCAACCCACAGAATGGAATACTACTCAGCAAGGAAAAGGAATGAATGAATGAACCTTCAACAAGCTCAGTGAAAGAAGCCAGTCCTCAGCTGATGGACGTTTGAGTTCTACCCACTTTTTGGCTATTGTGAATAATGCCGCTACGAACACTGGTGTACAAGATTTTGTGTGGACGCACATCTTCATTACCCTCGGGTATGTACCCAGAAGTGGACTTGCTGGGTCATACGCTAACTCTATTATTAAACATTTAAGGAACTGCCAGACCATTCTCCAAAGTGGCTGCACCATTGTACATTCCTGCCAGCAGTGCCTGAGGGTCCCAGTCCCTTCGCAGCCTCACAGCACTCGTTACTGTCTGTGCTTTTTAGTCTAGCCATTCTAGTAGGTATGGGTGGGATCTCATTGTGTTTATTTTTTTAAAATATATGTTTATTGATTTCAAAGAGGAAGGGAGAGGAAGAGAGATAGAAACATCAATGATGAGAGAGAATCATTGATTAGCTGCCTCCTGCACCCCTGGGCATATGTCCTGACCGGGAATCAAACCACTGAGTCACGCCGGTCGGGCACTCATTGTAGTTCTGATATGCACTTCCCTGATGGCTAATGATATTGGGCATCTTTTCACATCTTTTTTTTTTTAATTGTTGGCAGTTTTACAGATGCCCCCCAATTCCTCCCAGCCCTTGCTCCACCCCATCGTTTCACATTCTGGAGTCCTATTGTTGTCTTTGCATAAAGAACACCAGCTCCACCAATTGTAGAGACTTTATGCTTCCTTTCTATCACTCTATCCCCTGAGCCTAGAACAGCATCTGGCAACCTCTGAATGCATTTGTGGACTATAAGTGGATGAACCCCCATTTTATTTTATTTATTTATTTTTAAATATATTTTATTGATTTTATAGAGAGGAAGGAAGAGGGATAGAGAGTTAGAAACATCGATGAGAGAGATCAGCTGCCTCCTGCACGCTCTCTACTGACGATCAAGCCCACCACCAAGGTACATGCCCTTGACCAGAATCGAACCCGGGACCCTTCAGTCCACGGGCCGATGCTCTATCCACTGAGCCAAACCAGTGGTTAGGGCGTGAACCCCCATTTTAAAGGCACAGATGGGTTAAGCCACTTGCCCAAGATCACACAACTACTATGTAGCACAGCAGGATTTGAATTCGGGTCTGTGTTCAAGAAATAGTTTTTGAATAAAGGAAAAAATCTGTGGTTAGGAAATCACACACAATCACACCCCCAATAAGAACGTCAGCCTGTTGTGGATGGAATATGTCTGTCCCACCAAAAGTGAAACCCTAACCCTCAATGCAATGGGATTAGGAGGTGAGGGGAGGTGATTAGGTCGTGTGGGAGGAGCCCTCATGAAGGGGATTAGTGCCCTTATAAAAGAGACCCCAGAGCTCCCTCACCCCTTCCTTCACCATGAGGACACAGAGGGAAGACAGCCCTCTATGAACCTCACCAGACACCAATTCTGCACATGCCTCGATCTTGAACTTCTCAGCCTCCAAAACTGTGAGAAATAATTCCAAAACTTTTGTCTAAGCCACCCAGTCTATGGTATTTTTGTTATAGCAAAATAAAACATGTGGGGCAGCATCAATCTACACACAGTAGTTGAATAAATGAATGAATAAATGAATGAATGAACTGTGCTGCTGAGAGTACAATGGCCAGAACTTAGACCTCCTTCCACTGCCTACCAGAAAGCCATCCTTATTAATATTTTTCCCACCAAAACTTAAAGCCCCACTTCTCCATCCTCCTCCTCACCTGCCGGGGGCTCACAATGATGCTGTTGGATTTTGCCCCTGGTTTGGGAGCCTGGTTGGGGGTCTCTCCTGCCTGGGGTTCTGGCCCGGTGGGGGGTGCGGCTCCAGCCCCTCCTGCAGGTCCCGAGATAGCATACTCAGCGTAGGTCTGAGGGGCTGCCTGGGCTGAGGTCTCCGTGGTGGGATGGGTCCGAGTGGATCTGAACAAGGGCTTCGCCTGTGGGGAGAGATGGTGGGACGGATCAAAATCAGAATCTCTCTACTCCTCCCAACTTCTCAGCCTCCACCTTGGTCCCAGTCACCGTCTTCTCTCCCTGGGACCACTGTCATCACCTCCTCACCAGTTCCCTGCCTAACCCTCACCGCCCCCCACACTGTCATATCATGTCCCTCCTCTGCCCATAGCCTGCCTCAGAGTAACAGCCAAAGCTGTCACCATAGCCCACTCCACTTGCTTTCCTTACTCAGCCCCATTGGCCTCCTTGCTGCCCTCAAACTTGTCAGGCTCTCTCTGACCTCAGAGCCTTTGCACTGGCTGTTCCCTCTCCCCACAGATGTCACGTAGCTCGCTCTATCACGTATTCATGTCTCTGCCAAGATGTCACCTCCTCTGAGAGGCAGTCCTTTGACTGTCCTACCTAAGGCAGCACCTCTCCTCCATCACACCCTATATCCTTAGCCTACTTTCTCTTTCTTTTTTTTTAAATATGTTTTTATTGATTTCAGAGAGGAAGGGAGAGGGAAAAGGGGGAATAGAAACATCAATGATGACAGAGAATCATTGATCGGCTGCCTCCTGCACGCCCCCTCCCCCCCTTACTGGGGATCAAGCCCACAACCTGGGCATGTGCCCTGACCTAAACTGAGCTGTGATCTCCTGGTTCATAGGTCGAAGCTCAACCACTGAGCCACACTGGCTGAGGCCACCTTCTTTCCTTCATAGCACATTAGCAGCAGCCAGTACTCAGCACCAGCCCAGGGCTTTCCTGTGAGGAGATCGCCATGCTGCCAGTCCTTCGGTTTACCAAGAGATGTCAAAAGTGCCAGCTCTTTTTTTTTAAAAAAAAGCAAAACCTTCCAATTCTTAAATGTCAGCAAGAAATCCGGGCCTTGCAGGGTGCTGGCCACATACAGCACATCCCGGGGCCACTCGTTTGCTGCCAGTTCGAAGCCTCTGCCTTAGCCCTTAGAGCCACCAGGACGTTTTACAGACAGAGAAACTGAGATGGAAAGCAAAGGGCTGATTTCCCAAGGTGACCCAGGCTCCAGCATTTCCTAACCCTTC